ACCAAAGAGCAGAAACAACCCTCCATTAACTAGGACCTAGCACTGTTAAATTTATCCTGACATTGTATCTAATCTGTACAATCTCAGGCTGCACTGCTCCTGCCAGTGGGACTTGGGGGTTGGCCTCCAGCCTTTGGGATAGGGCTCAAAAGCTCTTGAAGACTCCAGGACCAATATTGTTCTACCCCAGAGTTTGTTATAATCTCCTCCCTTTCAGAGTTAATCTCTCTCCATCACAGCCGTTCCAACATTAATGAGTACTTTTGAGAGCTCAGCTTTTCTGCTAAATGATGTTTTGCTCTTTTATTCATCCATTAGGAGAGTTATTACAGCTCAAGTGCTCTGTCCTATTTGGATGAAAACAACTTAGATAAATAGCAATGAATTCCTCTTCCTCAAATGATGGCCATCCTGGCTGCTGGTACATGATATGCCCTGGTGTGTCCCATCTGCTGAATAAAGGGTAGGAAGATTAGGAGAACATGGTCCAAGGGCACTACTTGAAAGATAGTGTTTGGAGGGGAGTTGGGGTGAACATCTAAGACTTGTGGAGAGGTGAAAGAAGCAACTGAAAACCTCTGAGGGGACAAGACCCAGAGAAGAGATGAAAAATGGTTTTGTAGGGAAGCCTCCAAGTTGGTCAGTTCAAAAGGATTTTTTTTAACCTGAGTTCTAGAGGAGAAAGCCCTGGGTAGCAAGGAGAAATGGTGTCCACCAGTAGGAACATTCACTTCACAGTAGCCTTAAAAACTTTATATTGCTTTAAAAAATGCAGTTAACTTTTCTTCAGTAACATGCACCTGAACAGCCTGATGTGTGCGTCTGCTCCATTGCATTTCCTCTGGTTTCCCCAAGGAGGTGAGATTCACTTCCCTCCCCAGCAGTGTGGAATTGCACCTTTGCTAAGGGGAAATTTGTGGTTGCTGCACTGATGAGTAATTCTTGAAATCCCCTGACACTAGCTGCCATCTCTATTATTGTGGCTACAGAAGAGCTATTTTGTATTTCAGGGATATGAGTGTGGGTGGTGGGGCCACATCCTCTTTTAAGTCAAGCAGGAAGGCAGCAATTACTCTCATCACTTTCAATCTACAGTGTGGCAAAGCTTTACACAAGCAGGATTTGGTAGCATCACACCCAGGCTTACCAGCCTCTAGCCTGCTCCAAAACACTAGTCCTTCCTCCCCAACACTCAGTGATGCTGAGTCCTGCTCATTTGGTCCCCAGCACTGGCTTTTGACCCAAACTATGCAAAGTGGAGGCAGGTGATGGGGCAGCACGTGAAGCTGTGCTGGAAGATGCAGGACCCACAGCCTGTGTGCCCTAATTCCCCTGGGGAAGGAGGCCTTGCTTCCCCTGCTCATTGCAGGACTGCCTTTCCTTTGGGATGCTCCATGCATTGCAACGCTTCATGGTCTCTTCCCACTAGATTGGGCTTTCCAGGTTTTCGCCTATTAAAGTTCATACCAGCTAAACTAAATACAAGATTTGTAAACGGAGGTCAGCCAAATTGCTGCCACGCTCTTTGCAAATATGTAATTGCATGTTCTCTTTGTGCTTTACATCGATTAGCAGGTGAAGAACTGTGTTACCTCTGCATGCCACTGTGCGTGTCAATGAAACCAGGACTGTCCACCAGACATGTGGGCTGAATTTGGAAAGGCCCAATTACCAAAGCACTTTGGTCTAGTGTGTCTCTCTTAAAATCAGCACAGCAGTAAATCCTATGGCCTTTAGTCCAGTGCTGTCAGTTCTCAGGGAAACCCGGTGAGAAGGGGAGGAATTGCAGGCATTCTGGTTTCTTAACTCTTCATTTCCACATCTGGAGACCACACAGCTGCCCCACAGGCTCTAGCAGAAGATTTCTGCTTTTTTTCATCATGCCCAGCCTTGGGAGGAGTCCAGGTGGTTTTGGCTCTGGCTGGTTTTGGCTTCCCCTGCAGCAAGGGCAGAGGTTCCCCAGGTGTCATCCGGGACTCGGTGTGCAGCAGATGGCTCCTGCAGGAGCAGAGCAGGCAAGTAATGCCTCGGTCCACCCTCTGGTATGCTGTGGTTTGTGTCTTTTGCACTGAAAATTGCAAATCTTCTGCCAAATGATGGAAGTGCCTGGTGGGATGGATGAGTAGGGAGCAAGGAGTGTGTGTGCGTGTATGTGTGAGCTCAGTCTGTGTGCAATGCAGTGGCTGTTGCAGGCTGATGTCCTGGTGGCACTGATGACAACCGACTTGGAGAGCTGGCAATGCCACACCAACTGTGTCCAAGAACCAGCTTTCTTAACTGTGTTATAAAGCTGATATTTTTTTCATCTTGGCTATTTGCTCTGCCTTCAAGGAGGGGAAGCCATCGACATCAGCAGAGGTTGCATGATAAAGAATATCCAGCCACACTGACCTCAGGAAATTTTTTTTAGTTACTTTATAGGAGTGCTGTTTATCAGTATTAATCTAACACTGTTAGCGGAAGACATTCAGGCAACCTCCTGAAAGTACCTGGCTGTGTGTAATATGCCACATATAAACAAATGCAATTGTAAATGTTGAGTCATACAGGAAGATAAATAAATTAGTTTCCAGGGCTCATTAGAGTTGAAAGCTGGAGTTTTATAGCAGGATGAAGAGAATTGCACAATGCAGTTCCATATGGCTTATGAAATGTGTACGAAACCCATTTTCTCCTACCCATCCTAATTATGATATATAAATAGATTCACTATTTTCCTTCGAGCACTTACTTAGCTGGAATCTTTTTTTTTTTTTAAAAGACCAGCACAATCACTTGTATGATGCATTTCTGTAGGCACTTGACAGATCTCTAAATCAAAATGCAATTATTTTTAGCAATATCATGACCTTTCACTAATTGGGAGAGAAAATGTTGTACAATAAGTGACAGTTGTCTTGAGTGCTCAGCACTGTTAGAAGTCATTTCAACATTTGGCTTTAAATTGTGGTGGGGATAAGTGCTTAAATGATGCATAATAATTGTGTACATTATGTGTATATATGAGTTTTGTGTGAGCGTGCTTATGGAAGGAGAGGGCGGTTTGCACTACCCATGGCCAGACAGCACTCCTTCACCCAGGGTACAATTTTGTCACATAACCTGTCAGCACAGGACTCCTTCTCCTGGTATGTGCCAGCGGCTGCTGCTAGTGAGCAGCCCTGAGCGCTCAGCATCCATCTCACGGGGGCGGCAGCAAAGCCACAGGGCTAACAGCAATTGCAAGGAGGGTAAAAGGGGGACAGCTGGCGCAAATTCTGGTGGGCTGCATCTCCTAAAGGCTCGTATGAACAGGAGGAGACAACAGAGACGGAGGAAGAGGGGATGCCAGGGCAGTAAGGATGAGATGTATATCAAATACGTTTCTTTTTATTATTAAACATTGAGACTGTGGTAGTGTTTAAAGGCTGACGTTTTGGACCTTGTTATACCACATACCATAAACACAGCACATATGGCAGTCCTTGCTCCAGAGAGAGACTCATACACAGCACAAACAGAGCGTGCCTCTGCTTTTCCAGCTTGTCTGTGGGTCCAGCAAGACCCTGCCTACCTGGAACCAGTGGGTGACGTTCACCAGAGTAGGCTGGGAGTAGTGGAAGAACTGGCTCTTTGAAGGAGTACGTAGGACTACATGTGGCAATGCAGTAAACAACAGCCAGAGACAGAATATATGAGTCACTTTTCTAGCATATTTGAATACTGTTTAAATATAAACATTGCAAATGAGTATCTCTAACTGAGAAAAAATAAAATTTGATGCAAAAATATACCAATGGTATACTGCATATGCATATAAATACATTACATGGTTTGCACAGTCATTATGCGTCTTCCTTCTGGACCGACTTTCTACAGACTTATACAAAAGTTGAAATAGAGAAAAACAGAAGGGAAAGGTCTTCAACTAAACACATTGTTGTTTTGGCAAGTGATTTGCTTCCCAAAAAACTGGGCTGTAAAAAACAAAACATAGTTTCACAACAGGCCCATTTGTGTTTTCACATCATATCTACCTCACAGCAAGAGGGGAAGCAGCGAGCAAGGCAACGGTGATGCATACAGGATGCTCAATACATTATAATGGCATTTGAGATCAGTTTCACCACCCGTTCAATGCCTATGATGTTAACGGGGTCTGGAAAAGTCCTCTCCTTGATACAGAGGGCTTAAACAATATCCAGAGTGCTTTACTAGATGCCAGTGCTTAGCCCACACCATCCATTGCAACAGGCAGTTTGCTCCTAACCCTGTTAGCAGGGTGCCACTCCAGTGCAGTTGCACCGGATGGGGTCACTGCAGAGGGGCTGGTGGCTGCAGCGGGGGTCGGCTGCTCCCACCTCACAGAGGTGAAGGAAGCACACGCTGCCCCGGCCAGAGTGCTGCTGCGGGAACTGCCATGGCTCTCTAAGGCCGGTTCAGAAACCCCGATGCCCCTGGGCAACGCTGCTGCTTGGGCAAGCGTGCAGCGAGGGCCACCCCAAGCCCCAGATCTGGGGCTGCTGCAGTGCGGAGGGAAACGGCAGGAGTCCTGCTGTGGTTGAGCCGCAGCTTCTCCTGACCCAAAACCTGGTGCCTCTCCCATCAGCCTAACGCAGCTGCCCCTGCCCAGCTCAGAAGGCGGCAGATGGGGTGCAAGCATGCTCACATGGGACTTTTCCAACATCTCTAAATTTTAGCTTCGTTTTTTTGTTTCCCTCCGTTTCCTTAGAAGACAGAAAACTACATAAGAGGTTCCTGCTCGATTGGGGCTAGCTGGGGAGTCAGTGATGTTGCCTTCGTGGCACCCTGTGAGGTAGACGGAGGTCATGGGTGCTCCCTTTCCCCAGCTGTGCACAGAGGACAGTGATTCCCATAGAGATGCTAGGCACTGGATTAGGACAACGTACTTTCCGTAGGAAAAGGCAGCAGTGTGCGCTGTGTGTCGCTCCAGCGGACAGTCTCCATCCCCAGCTTAGCCCACAGTCTGGCACAAGGTGGGTGCCAAGGGGAGACTTGGCCTAGGACACGTTTATGTTGGAGAAGAGCGGGGCTCCGGGCAGTGTGGCCGCTGTGCTGTCTGCCAAGTAGCCCAGGATGCTTTTGAGTTCGCTGCGTGACAAATTGGCTTTGATGTACAGGAACGCTTCCAGGTGTCTTTTGCTGTGGAAGAGAAACGGGCAGGTGTTATCTCCTCCTGCAGATCTGTGTGCTGGGTCCCTTGTGCCAGGATGCGGTCCCCACCCCACAGTGTGTGCCGAGGTCCCCAGCAGATACCAGCTCGGCATCTAGCAATCCTACATGGGAGCCAGCACTGCCCCGGGAGGTTTGGGGTAGGGTTGGGAATCTCCAAGGCAAAGGAGAAAAATCAGGCCAGAATTTGGAATATATCAATAGGCCTTTTTTTACTAGTTTATTTTGTTGTCCGATGGCACTGGGATTGCCACAGCCTGGCAGGCAGCCCCCCACCTGTTTTTGTAGACTCAGGCTGTACGAACCTCACCTATGTTCATATTTGACTGTTTCCTGGCGCAATTAAAATTCCATACGAGTATTTGCAAATCTACTTCAGTGTCTCTTACCGGATATCTGGGTACGTCGTGGCGAGTGTTGCAACTTCAATTTTAATAGCACCTAAATCCTGAAGTCGGATTATTTCAGCCAGTTTGGGGAGTGCCGAATTCAGCCACGTGGCTTGAGACCCCTGCCAGAAGAGAAAGTGGTCAGCAGGGCATCGTGGAAGTGCAAACCTCGGCCCAGCCCAGGAGCTGGGTTTCACCAGGGTGCCACTGAGATGGCTCCCGAGGCTGTTTCCTGGCGAGGGGGAAGGACACGACAATGATTTTAGGTGCCTCATTGTTTTCAGTGATGTTTCTAGCCCAGACTTTGCCTGGGCCAGCCTTGGAGAAACTGAATGAGTTCTGTGGTTGTTTCAAATCCTTTTACACATGTAGTGTAGGGTTCGCCATATGACTGTTTTCACATCCACCTCAACAGACTCTCTCTGCTCTTCCCTCCCATCTCATCTTCCTTTCCTTGGGTTTCTACGCTGCCTAGCGTGTACATGAGGTGTGATGGGCTGGCAAACGCACTGCCACATGCTGCTCTCTCTGAGCTATGCACACAACCCTGCCTTTAGCATTTCCAGGCACTGCCCAAATCCCCTCTCTGCCCACTCAGGTAAAAGCCCCGACTGGACCCGTGTTCTGGCCGTTGGACATCCCAAGGTGCCAGCTACCTGACCTCCTGCCCACACCAAGTGATGCTCAGGCTTGGTCCTTCTCCAGTCAAACGTGCATGGGGTGGTAGAGGACAGGGTTTGGCTTAGCTTTCAGCTCTTTTGCAGGCAAATTGAGAGGCATGGAAGGAGGGCGGTGATCTCAGAGGACAGAGAGGGAAGTTTCAGCCATGCCTCTCATGGAGGAAACCCTTGTGTAGCAGAGACCCTGCGTGGCCTGTTCCAGCCCCTGCCTGACCTAAAAGCAGCAGAGTGAGGGAAATCAAAGGTGAGAGGGAAGAGTCAAAACCCAGACTCCATGCAAGTTGTACTGGAACTGGAGAAGATTAGCTAACTCTTCAGACCCTATTAATATAAACCTTCAAAAGGAAACAGTGCCTAAGGGACAACGGAGGATGAAATCATTGCTCTCCATCCAGGGGAGGGCAGGCTGGAGCAGGGGAGTCTTCCTGCCCACAGACACCTGGAGACCACTTTCTGCCTAAGGTCCTACCTTCCAGGAAATTAAGCTGAGCTGGAAATGTTAATGAGAGGCCTCAGAAAATTGATTTTCCTGTTTTTCAGTGTGACTGTGCCCTGTGCTGTTGTGGATGCGGCGAGCACTCACGTACATTGCTGGTGCAGAAGGCTTCAAGGTCAGCAGCATTCTTGGAGATGTTTTGGGCCAAGTTTTGCTGTTGCCCTGGAGTTTTCAGGCTAACTTTCCTCTTCAGCAGCCTCACAATGTACTCTTTAACCAAATGAGTGTGGATCTTCTCGACGATAGCCTGTTGGGAAGGAGATGGGAGATCATCCATCTCTGTTTTTGCTTGGGGACAAAACAAACCGCAGGTGAACAAAAATGTCTTGGGTGCTGTAAGACATGCCTCACCAAATGCCTGCTGCTGATCACATGTGAGGAATGGCACTGGTTGCCAACCTCTTCACAACTGGTTACGTGACATCCTAGATGCCGAGAATTTCTTTGTACTCTAATGAAGCGTGGGAATTTCCAAATATTGTTTCCTTCTGGGAAGAGTTGAAGGCATAGAAAAGATCTAACATGTTAGAGAAGAAGTAGCAGTACTCCAGATAAACAGGAATTCACGCTGCTCCTCCTGTTCCTCTCTCTAATATACAAAACATAATTTTGTTTCAGCTACTAAAAAGACAAAGGCAGGAAATCAAAGACTTTTTTATATGGTGATGTTTCGTATATACTGCAGCACCACTAAAAATGTGGTTGTGGCTCAGTTATCTGGGATTTGTCCTAGTTGCACCCATCTCCTCCAGTCCTCAGGGAAATCAAAGGAGCCATGAGATACAACCGTGCAATTCAATCGGTGTTTCAGGGTTGCTAAACCAAACCCATACATAAATATAACTATATTTTGGGTGATCCCTAGAGCACTTTCTCTACAGCAAGGGTGGTTTTCTCAGCAAATGCTGCAGCAGAGCTATAGGATTCTGCTTCTGCTGGAGGAGAATAAGATTTATATGGCTGATGGAAATCCTGGCTCTGATGCCAGGCCAGCTCACTAGCTTAACATGGGTCCAGGCATCTCCAGTCTCAGAGGATCAGAGCTGAAAACACAGCCTCAGCATCCCAGAATCCCTCCAATATTTCTCTTGGACTTACGTGGTAGAAAGGGTCCTTTAGGGTCCGGAAGTCTGAAATATGTTTGCTGGTGGTTTTAATGATCTCATTCATAATTTCACTGCTAGAGTCCCACTTATTTTCTGTAAACTTCTTATAAATTGGCTGAAAAAAAAGAAAATTTGCTTAGTTCCTTTGAAACAAATTCTATGCACATGTATATTTAGCATTTCTATATGTACAGTATCCTACATAGCGACAGTGTGATGTGCAGTCCTGTGCAGGGACATGTGACAATGACTTACAGGGGCAGGGGAAAAGGGGGTTGTACTGGGTTTGTGTCCCCTTCTTGGTTCCTCATGATGGAGAAGACTGAGGGCTTGAAAGGCTCATATTCAAGATGCTTTTTTTAAATTTTCATGGTTTTAATCTTTTGTCCACACAAAATCTTGTCTGATTAGAGAATTATGGAACCATTAGGGAAAAAATTGAATCATTATGAGACTTTTTCAATCACAATTTTTCTTGGCTACAGTAAATAAATATGAAAATAAGAAAAGCACCCCTGCTCTGTCCGATGCCTTCCAAAAGGCCCTACAAAGAAAGCAGGAGAGATTGTGGCTAAGCACTCCTGACTCCTGTGCCTTCCCCTCCACCACACTTGCTTAACTTAAAAAGCTTGTGTTATATATTTAAAAAAAAAGAAAAAAGAAAAAAAAAGAAAAAAGAAGAAAAAAGAAGAAAAAAAACCCCAGAAGTAAGAAACCAAAAGTGCCTTTCAGGCCACTTTCATGAAGAAGCTGTGTAGTTGCAGTTCATGTCATTTGTGATTGCTTCCTACAATTTGGAGTGTAAACACTTGCAGGTTGAGACTCTCCCTCCTGCAGCGCTTATCTTAGATGCGATCAGCACATTTTGTTTGCTTGCACAGTCGTGCCTATGTAGCTGTGCTTGTTTTGCCTGCAGTCTCGAGGACCAGCTCAAGAAGAGATGATTCAGAGTTTTCTGACTGATGCTGAGACGTGACCTGCCCCACAGCCCTTCTGAACTTTGCAGCATTTGAATCAGAGATTTGGGCAACTGACGGCACGGCAGGAGAACCTGCCCAGCCCGGCCCAGGCTGAGCAACGGGGCAGGAGGGTGTGGGGTGCAGATACGGTACCTTCAGCTGCACGAACAGCTGTTGAAGCAGCACGTCAAAGCCGCTGTTTTCAATGTCACTGAGAGTGCTGAGGATACTGGCTTTATTGTCATCCTTTTCTGCCATGTTCTTCTCTGTGTAGTCTCTGCAAGAAAATATCAGCAAGGTCAGAGTAATCTGTCCTCCGAAGAGAGAGAGAGAGAGAGAGAGAAATTCAGAAGTCTCCAAACCTTCCTCTGCAGGCAGATAGACCTTCCTCTGCCCACCCTGGAACACCTCCCCTCCTTCACACTATCATCCGTTGCCTGCAGAGGAAGGAGCAAAGCCTTTTCGTTTGAACCCTTACCTAAAATTCCAGCAGTTGTTAATATTTGCAATCAGTATAGGCTTGTAGTATCTGTGCTTCTTGCTTTTCTCTTTAAAGTCTTCAAAAGCATCCTTGTAGCTGTAGGGGAGATGGGAAGAGGAGAGGCAGGTGAGTGTGTGCCCCGGGCGGCTCTGGCAGCCCCGCTGCCCGACGCTGCCTTACCGCACCTTTTCAGGAAGGCAGGCAGCTCCTTCGACAGGCGATGCGACAGCTCCTCGCCCACTGCTGCGCTGATGTCCTTGGCTCGCTTCTGGCCACTGTAGATACTCTAACAAACAAACAAACAAACAAGATCAGTTTTAAATGCCACCTGCTCCAAAAAGGCCAGGTTTGCAGGTTAAAAAGGCCACAGATCCTTAAATGCGGTGACTGCGCCCAGGTCCCCTCCATCCCCCGCTCCGAGACTGAGCCAGGGACCATGCAGAGCAGCCACACTTATTTGGTGTGCTCAAGCCAATTCTGAACTCATTTTTCAAATGGGGAGAGAGGTGAAGAAGAAAGAAGCATTAAAGAAAGCCTATAAAATAGCTGAGAAAGTGGGGAAAATGACACTTGGGTTCTTTTGCTTTTTTCACTGATTGCATTAAAAAAAAAACCAAATTAAGCACAACCTCAATATATGAAGGGTTTATTTTTAAAAAATAAACTCTACTAATCCTCTGCTGCCAGAGGAGGGCGAGTGTTGAGCTTGGGGAAAGGGTGCGAGCACTCGGAGCAGCTCTGCCTGTGAGAGTCTCCACGGGAGCAAGCTGGGCAACAGCACCACGCTGCCTCCTCGCTCGGCTAAACCTGTCTCCTCTCTCTCTGCCGTTACATTGCCCAAAGCTTGGCTTCAGCTGAGGGTGCAGAAAAAAAAACACACAGGGAGAAACGAAGGTAGCTTTCCTGCTCGTTTTGCTTATAGAGGAGTTTGTCTCCAGCACGTGGTAGATCAGGACCATGCCAGACCATGGGTTAGGGCTCCCCTGTACCACCCATCTCTCTTACCACCATACACAAGCGACTTGGACTTTTGCTTCCCTGAATTGACTACAGTTAGTCTCAAATCCTAAATATGTGCAGGATGCAATTGTTTATTTTTAATATATATCTGTATTACCTGGATAACAAATATTGCTAGTAGTTCACTCTGAAAATGTCCATTTAGTTTCTCTGGTTCTTTATCTTCTTTCCATCTTTGGATTTCTTTATCTAAACATTTGCTCAGTGAATTTTTGATAGTAGCCTTCAGGGAAGGAAGAACAACAGCATTTACTACAAAGTAGATGTAGCAGTTCCTGCCTTATGCAGGTTTTACTCACCCACCCACCATTTATCTGGTTGAGCGGACTTTTTCCTCGTCCCTGTTTGAGAAATAAGGGCTCTTTGTTATGAGACGCCTTACTTCACGTCAGCAAGGACAACCCCCTCACAATATCCATCTACGCAACAGCGAGTTGAATATTTCAGGGTAAGAATGAAGATGAAGACCCACGTCCCTGCCCACCACGTCAGTGGTGATCTCAAGGGCAGGGGAGGGGAGCGGTGGGTACGAAGGTCGCAGAGCCCAAATTCCCCCAGCCACGCACTGCCTGTGCGTCACACTCAGTGCTATCCTCTGGGCCTGGTTTTGCAATCCTTTTTCATGAGCATTTCTGACGTCTTGTGAGTGCTGGAGAGTGAAACGAAATGTTCGCAGGTTTTCTCTGCTCTGCCCCCTCTTGTGCGCACACTTTTGAAATGGTCTGTACAGTGGTGGGATATATCTCTGATCACCAAGTGCCTTGTTTGTGCGCTTTGCTGCCCTCACACCCACCTCTCCCATCTGCAAACCATCACTGGTTACAGCTAAACCTGGAATTTGCCTTCTCATTTTCCGGGAATTCCAGCCCAAAATGTCAAAAGCACTAAGCTATGGGAGTACTGTAAAAGTTGCTTCTTGTTTCCATTAAGGCAAGAATGATCCAAAAAACAGAGCAACTGTTATTTTCTGCACACCAGGCGATTCTCCATCAAAGAGACGGATTTTTCAAGACCAGACTTGCATGCTTTGCACTCACCCAAGGTCTGGCACTGCTGCAGAGACCAGAACTAATTCTGAAACCATCATCTGCGAGAGGGAGCATAAATCCCTCTGGGGATTTAACAGCCAACTGGAAAGTTACCCATAAAGATTTGTAGTTGGATTTTTTCCTACCACAAGGTTTGCAAGAACAGAGAAGTTCTTTTCTGATGCCTCCCAGGGCGGAAGGCTGAGCTAACCAGAAGTTTGTTCTGCAGGTCCCATGTAGCACAAAATTGACCTGTCCCCCCAAAAGAAACAAAAGCATTCTTGCTTTTGCTTCTCTCTGGACGGGTGTGTGACTCACAGCTGAGAAGTGTGCATGCAGGACAAGTCAGAGCTCCTCCGAGGAGTCCTATGGGAGCAGTAAAGGGAAGAGGAGGGACTGAACAGATTCTCACCTCTTCGCTGTCAAGGTATTTCTTTTCAAGCTCTTGGCTCAGACTCAATGGCAAAAGGCTTCCAAGCTTAACTTTTTCCAACTCCTCTGCTAAAACATGATCTTTTCTCATATCTCTGGAATGAAAAAGCCAAACAATCACATTTTCCAAGGGCAGTGTAATTCAAGGCAGCTGTTGATGCAAATCACTAACACTTTTTGAGGATATCAGTGAAAAACCAGATGGAAATGTACATTGTCCTTAGTACAGGCAGGACCTGGAGGAACTGAATCTGTGCCAGAGGTGGGACCTGTGAGGGTGGGACCCTGAGCAACCCTGGTGAATGGAGTCATGTTCTGCCAACCCCCTAGCATCAGCTGCTGCGTTGGGTATGGGGGACCCAGAGCCGCAGAAGGGACTATTCCCAGGACACAGCCTCTCTCCATCAATAGAGAGAAGTGATCAGTTGAAAAGTTGGCATTTCATGGCTAGCTGGAACGGAGCAGGCAGTTTCATACCCTGCTGTTATGTCCACACAGCATGCCGGCTGAGCTGGGTGCTCCTGAGCTCCACGGGGGTACACCACCCTGCTTCCCACACACGAGCTGCTTCTGATACGATGCTGGAAGCTGGGGCCAGACTGTCGTGCAAGTCTCCTCCTTTTCACTGCTCCCTTCATGGCTGGCCGTGGAGAGTAGCAGTCTCTGAGCGGACACCTGAACCTGGCCTCTGGAAACACCCTGGAAAGCAGCCGCTGCCCTGGCCAACACCATCCCCAGTGCCAGGCTGCGCTGCTCTGGCTGAGCCCTGCTCCTGGCAGCCACTGATTTCCAAATACATGCTGGTTCAGGCCTGAATATTCTGACCTAGAGCACAGACTGGCTTTGGAAAACTTCCAGGATCAACACTGACTAATGGGTTATTATACTCTGTCAGTGAAACAAGAGAAGGAAAAAGTGGAGGTGAAGGTTGAATGGCTTTAGAACAGCGGAAGAAACACTGTTGGTGTCTTTACTGGTTTTCACCTAAGAAATAAGAGCCCTTGATTCTCCATCCAGTACTATAAGCCACAACAAAGAATATTTTCCATTCCATAACATACACAGCTTGCAATAATGAAGGGCGACCCTTGGTGATAATGTCTTCTTACAGGGGCTCACATTTTGGTCTCCTAACCTGGAGGAGAGCACAGACTGTGGGTGATGCCTAAGCAACATCCTCCATGCCCAGGATAACTGCATCTCAGATTGTTCTATTTACTGGCTGCCCTCTGGTCCAGAGGGCTAAAATTTCTAAATTTTCCAAGAATGAGTTGCAGGTCTGCAAGTGGAATAGATCAGGGCAATGAATTTGCCCAATTCACCCCACAAGTGAACCACCTGTGTGCATGTCTGTTGCCCAGAAGCCTGAATGGTGGGGTGAGACCTTGATTTACAGACTAGCAGCCTTGAGCATGTCCCTTCTGACCGTCCTGGCCAGTTGGTGTATATCAGCATGATGCCAGTGACACCAAAGCCTAGCCACACACCAGACTGCATTGCAGTGATACTGATTCATAAATCAAATGCGGCCAGTGAACCTGTGTTGATCACCAGGGATAAACATGTGTAAAATCTTCACTTACTTTGGATAAATGTTGTGCACCCATGAGAGGAGAAGGTAAACATCCTTGTCTTCCAGATGAGACTCAGCACTTTTCTTTGCCTGGGAGGCAAAATAATTGTGGTAGAGTTCTGCATATGTGCTGAACACATTAAACTCAGCAGGATAAAGCTGTTTAATGTACTTTACAACTACTGTCAAATCTTCTTTCATTGTCTTTCCCATGTGCAAGAGGTTCTGGCCAACTGTAGAGAGGTTCTCAGTTCTAGGAGTACGGCTTGTGTCTTTCATTCGAGTTTCTACTGACTCCTTTACTGTAGCCATCCAAAGCTCTTTCCATTTTCTAGGTCTAAATTGCATGTTTTGGTCAGGTGGGTTCTCCAACATGTAGTTCTGATCTTCTTTCTCCTGCTCTTTCAGTGCCTCTACTGCCTGCTGCAGCAGTTCTGGGTTTGTTTTCGCTAGCACTATGGAGTCTTTCAAGATGCTGAAAACTTTGTGCTTCAGAACTTCGTAGACGGACTCAACATCTTGCTGGCTGATGTTCAGTCCTTCCTCGCTTCTGCTGGACAGGCTCTTCTCCAAGACAATCAGATATTGAGCAGCATCACAAAGCTTGTGCTCTTCAAGGAGATCCATGACTTGTTTGACTGGTGAAAAAAGAACAGCCTTTCTTTACCCAATAGCGAAAATTTAAATTTCTGTTTTATATAAAATGAAGGCTCTGGAATACTTTTTAAAAAATGTTTATATTTCTATAATACTAGATATTAGGCTCCTTCACCATATAGAAAATCTTTCTATTTATTTAAAGATCAGATTATTCCTAGCCTGCCTCTAACTGGGAAAATGATAATTTCATTACCATTACATAATCACCAGTGTGTTACATATGGAGAGGTATTCATGTGCTACCCTAATTTTTTCCAAAATTTAGATTTGTGGGGATTTATTTATTTGTTTATTTATTATTCCCCCCCCCCCATTAATATGACTTCTCAAGTAAGAAACATGACTTTAGAAAAGAAATGTGGATGGAAAGATGTAGCTAAATAAGATGTGCTAGAGGAAATACCACATGGGTTTTCCAGAAATAGGTTGGCACAACCTGACCTGTGAAATTTTTTTGGAGGACACATTTAGCAGGCAAGATAAATACAATTGAACTATCCTATCTGAATTACGGCCAGTTACTCAACACAGTGCAATCTGGAAAATTATTAGTTAAACTGGAGAAGTTATACCCCAGAATAACTTCTGTTAGGTGCGTAAGGTTTGTACTGAAAACCCTGGGTGGAGAAAGTTTACATTATTCATGAAACTCATCTTACTTCATATTCTCCTTAGAGACCACGGCACAAAAGCTGGGAGTGCCCTATTGGCATCTGCTGATTACACAAAGGTCAGAGACATTATCGAAACTGAGGACTTGGTGTATTGTACAGGAACAACAGGATAACTTGAATAGCAAATGGGCTGAAATTCAATAGCACAAAGACACAGATTCAATAGAACAAAAGTTACTTAGCAACAAATAGGATTTTCTGCTGCCAGCTGGACATGAGTCAGGTTGAGATGGAGGAGGAAGAAAGATGCTTGGAGAACTAGTAAATCATTACTATGAGATGACGGCGAAAATGTCAGATATGACCCAAGGATGCATCCAGCGAGGAACATCCAGCTGAGATAGGAAAATGGTAACATATTGTACCAGGCATTGGTGGTATCCCATCTGGAATATTTTCTGCAATTCTGGTCGCTTTATTTCAAAAAAAAAGACATTGGAAATGGGACAATGCAGCAGTAAAAACAGAGGCACGAAGGGCTTGTTTGCAGTAGACTCGGTTCATTTAGCTGAGCAAATTCAAGGCCGAGAAGGAAAACCGCCAGTTAGGGAAAACATCTGACACATGGAGAAAGAGAAGCCAACTAGTCAGGTAAAGGCTTGCCTGGAAATGAGATAATTTGTACTAAAACAATGAGACTTTGGAAGACCCACCCAGTAAAGAGGGCAGGACTAAAAAATGAACTTATTTTAAGGTATAGCTTGCTAAGTTTATGAACCAAGTAACAAGACAGGTCACCTGAGGTGGCAGGTAAGCCTTGGAAGTGCCAAGGGGCACCTTCCTCTCCAGTTCTGGGTTTCTCTGAGCAGTTATTTTTCTACCTCTCTAAGCACCCTCCAGGGATGGTGCCTGCGACTGGAGGAGTTGTGTTCAGATATCAGCCCCAGGAAAGACCTATGCGTGCTGCCTGCTGCTGTCCCTAGGGCAAGAGGAGATTTCACAGGGTGGTGGTTTCATGGAGAAACACAGCAGAGAGGTATGCCTTGGTTTCTCGCCCACCCACAGATCTCTGTGCCCCCATGAGAGGCAGAAACAAGTTTAGTTTTAGACAGAAAACCTGCAAACTGGCAGTTCCTCAAGGAGTGTGCCCTTGGTACCAAAGGACCAGGACTTGAAGTCATGCCCCCCTCAGCCCCTGTTTCCCCATGGTCCTTGGCCAAGTCACTTTAATCTGTCAGTGTCCTTGTTTCTCAAGGGGATAAGTCTCCACCTCGTGCAGCCCCTCTAGAGATAACTATGAGGTGGTGCAAGGAGGATGGAGGAGCACTTACCGCTGGGTGGCTTGATCTTTTTCATCTTCTTAAGTGCGTTTGTAAGGATTCCCTTTATTCCTTTCTTCCCCTTTTCAGGGCTGTCCCCAGCAGAGGTGCAGCTCCCATTGCTTGTGATGGAAGATGCACGTGAGGGTCTGCAGGCTGCCTCCGGCCTTTCACTCATCTTCTCCTGGTCCCTGGACCAGATTTCGTCTCCAGAAGGTTCAGGACAGGCAGGGACTAGCTCAGCTACTGATGTCGAAGGGTTTTCAAGCTGACTGCTTGCATCAATGCAACCCTCTGATCCATTGCGCATTCCAAGAAGACCGCTTTGGAAAAAAGGTAACATTTTCATCATTTTCCTTCTAGCCTGTAAATTTCAGAAAGAACTGGTCAGATTATAACAGTTTGCATAAAAAACTACCATGGCACAATGTGACAAGGTGCATTTCCATTAAAAAAAAATAATTCTGTAACGAGTTGTCCCTGTGTGGGCAGTGTGGGGAGTGCTACACACATCTGGTATGAGCACAGCTCTGTGGGAGAGCTCCTGGGCAACATCACCTCAGGGAACTGAAAGGATGGATTCAGCTCTCTGGTTTAATAAAGCACTTATTTAGAGAAATTTGATGAGTGATTTTAAGGGTGATTCAGATGGCCTGATTTGAGACCTTGAGCCTGTCTGAACACAGGAGAGCAGGGCTTTCCCACATGATGCTGTAGGAATACGGACGTGGGTGTGGATGCTGCACATGAATGATGTGGGTGGGGTGGGACAAGAGTCCTGTGCCTGTTCAAAGCAACCACAAAACCCCCTTACTTTTATATGGCATTGGGATCAATTCCAACCTTCCTTAGGGCCTTTTTTTGCTGATGTCTGCTCATCTGGCTGCAGATCTGTTTGTGGAAGCACCTATGTAGCTACCTGCACACTGAGTTTGCAAGTACAGCATGAAAATGAGACAAATCTACCAGGCCAGCTACACAGCAACCTTTGCTGAGCCAAAGTCCTCCTGGTTTAACTATGTCCCCATTGAAGTCAGTGATAAAATACTTAGCTTTATGGAGGAGAGCTCCCAGAGAAGGTAGCTGAGAGTTCAGAAACATCTGGAATGTGAAAACCATGGTCGAAAGGATGGGACTGTGGGAAGCACAGCAGTATCTCCTGATATCAGCATCAGGAGGCTTATTTTAGGCCCAAAAATCCCAGTAAGAAGCATGGATTCAATGCTCTACATGCTTCCCACATCCCTACAGTGGCAGACACAAGCTCAAGGATGCATTCAGACCCTTCAAAACCACTCACAGTCTACGTAATCTCATTTTCAAAACAGTCCCAGGGTGACTACAGCATCCCCAAACAAGGCAACTTCAGTGTAACTAGCTGGGTGTTTCCCAATACCCGGGAGAAATTATTGTCCCATCTGTGGGGCTGTAATGCAGGAGGTGGCTTGTGCACAAAGAGATGCCAGTGAAATGGGATGGTGGAGGGGGCAAGGTTCTGATAGCTGGGACTAACCAGATTAGACTTTTCCCAGAGCTGCTGAATGAAACCGGTGCCAGTGACCAGGGCTGCTGCATGTCCAGAGCAGTCCTCGCCTGGCTGAGGGGGAACTATGAACAAAGCACCAGGATCGGGGTGGTTTAGCTTTGTTTAACCCCTCCCCTGCCACAGTCCTGCTCCACCACCAACACTCCTGTACTACAAATAATTAACAATGGAAATTTGTTATTGTGAAAACATCTTTTTAAAATTTATATTTAGAATTATTTATTTACATGTATCATGCAATATATTGCTATAGATTTATTTGCATAATTATATTCATTTCTATAATGATTATAATTATCTAGTTATAGTAAATAAATAGACTCAGTTTCCAATCCTTCTTCTAACAATATTTTTTTTTAAGTGACTTTCTGGGAAATCAGTGCACTTCTATATGAAGATCTGTGAGGCAATTCCTCTTACTGCGTAAGGGGAGAGGAATTAGACTGTAAATAAAGGAAGAATTTGGCTTCAGTTATAAGACCACAATGTGGTGATCTTCAAATACCCTTGTTAAGTTTATGCTGTTGATATGTATCATGCTGATACAAACTGTGATACTTATATCTGGGCAAACTGGAAGACTGTGGCTTTTCATTTTAATTGTGATTCCTCCTGCTGGCTCCAGGCAGCTTGGAGAGCTTTGAAGCATCAAGTTAGTGGTAGCAGCTGGGTGGTACAGAGAGCGGTTAGAGTCTGGCATCGCTGAAACCCTTTCCTTCTCCGTGCTTTGGCTGCCAGGTCACACCAGGATTAGTAACACTATTGCCTTTAAAACACAACGAAGATGAAAACTCATTTGGGAAGGATAGAAAGGGGTGTGGGTGTGCACGGTCTGGCTGGCTCTCAGCTAGACTGGTGGCCTGTGACCTGAGGCAAAGTGCGAAGCTAAACTAAAGGTGCTGCTATGGCTGAGCAGGACGGCGGTGGCTGCTGAGAGGCGTCAGGTCCTGTGTCGGGTCGCTGCTCTACAGAGCCCTCGTGCCCCGGTGCCGGTCGCATGGGCGAGCAAGGGGGGGCCCAAGCACCAGAGCTGGCCCAGCGGGCAGCGAGTGATGGCTGAAGGAAGCTATGCACCTACCGCTTCCCCTAGCACTGTTACTGGGGAGGGAGGGAGGGAGGAAACCCCCCTGCGGTTCACTCTGGCTACTCTAGTTAGGATGCCTCATTAAAATCCTAAAAATGGGGGAAAAGAGCTCCTTTTACTTACATTTCCACTACAAAAAAATAACATGGTAACAGGGATTCTCTATAAGTGCTTGGGACTTTCCTAAATTATGTAGGGCTGTTTTCCTAGTCTCATTTCCCAATATGACACTGTGTTTAGATTAATTCTGTCAAATCCCTTCCTTCCTGCTTGTTCAAGCATAGACCTAGCCAAGTACTTTCTCTCTCTGATATTATTCCAAACAAAGCATTTATTGGGTTTTTTTGTTTGTTTCTAAAAAAAAGAAAGTACCTCTCCCTTTCCCATAGCCAAAGGTGACTTTTGGAGTCTTTTGTTTTAATGAATGATGATCAGAAAAGTGGATTTCAAAATGGTTTTCTTCTTCTTCAATACTAAGATGAATGTCATGCATCTTTGAAAACCATTGAAATGACACTACAGATAAAAGAGTCCATAATGGAATTAAGCTGGTTAAAATCTTAGTTTTTAACAGCTGGCAAAACTTCGTCCTGGTAATGCCCTAAAAGGGCTGGGCATGGGGGTGGCAATGCCCGGGGGGGGAAGCAGGTAGCTGGGCACGTGCTTCTGGGGGCTGCAGCCTCGGCAAGCCCCCGTGGTCCCTCTGCAGAGCGCCCCGAGCCATCATCTGCAGCGTCCCTATGCCCTGACCTGCCTAAAAAAGTCCCACAGCTGAATTACAATAAAGATAAAATCAGCTCTAGCGTTTTCACCCAGGCGCCACACATCAGCAGCGGGAGAACTCTTGGCAATATTGGCGTGTCAGGGTGTGCTTTTTCATCTTGAACTAATAAACGCCGAAGCAGTTAAGCATCTGAGTAAGGCTGTCAGTGCAATAGCTGCCATGCTTACTCACATTTGGCCAGCCTGAATGCTTGCCCAGCGTTTATCAGTTTGTTGCTGGTGGTTTGCATATGTTTATATCCGCAGCAGGAAATACCAGTAAACCTCACGTCCAAGTCCTGCCTTGAAATGCAGCCTCAGATGCTTACGGCAAGTGGTACCAAAAACTCCCTTGCCATGTCTTATCTTTATCACTAAATGGCCAAGGACTTTCTGTAAGAAATGCCTATAAGAAACTTTCTTACAGAAAAAAACCCCACTTTCTACAAGAAACGCTGAGCTAAAAGGAGGTGGCGCTGGTTACGGCTGGAGGCCGCGGGCAGGAGATGCTGGGCAGGAGCTGCTCCTTGTGCCCCCTGTGGTACAGAGGCCCTGTACCATTAGGACAGTGGTGCTGTTGACTGATGGTGTGGCCGGAGAGGAACCCAGCAAACTCTCTGCACGGTGCTGATCACGATGCGCACCCCTGGGCTGGAGCCTTTCCGGGGTGGGTGGCAAGGGCCAGGGAAACACCTGGAGCAGAGCCATGACGCAGAAGGATACAACGCAGACTCTGGACACGGTGACTTCCCGTTTTCTCATTTTCCTCCTCAAAGGAAACAGGCTTCACACCACATGCTTAGGAATGAGCTCATTCACGAGGGCTGGCTCGTGGTGTACCAGAGAGCACTCAAGGGAAGAGATTTACTGATTACTCCTATTTTGAAATTTTTGCCGATCTTTTTCTTGACATCTTTTTCTTGAGATGCTGCCAGTATTAACAAACATTTGTCTGTATTTTTAGTCCTCTCCAGCCTGCTGACGTCCTAGGTCCCAAGGATTTATGTCTTGTTTTAGTGGAAATCCCCCACTCTTCCACAGCCTCTCAGAAATCCAAAGTTATTTAGCAAAGATTGTTCTCTGCTTTTGCATCAGCCTTTTCTTCCCCCCCTGCTCCCCATGGAAGTGGGGCCACCCCTGCCCACATGAGAAAAATTGCAGCAAGTCATCTTTTGAAGCAGTAAAGCAATGCAGCCAGTCTGAGTTTAGCGTACCTCGGACTATGCAGTGACACCTAATTAAGCTGCTAACAAATCAAATCAAAGTCTACTGAGATGCCAGCCCCAATCTTTTGCAAGTTGGGAAGCCCTCCTAGGAGGTGGGCTTTTTCCTACTAGTTTTTGTTAACTGGATTGGGTACTGAAGGGAGAAACCGTGAAGCTGGGGGCTCCCACATGGTTCTGCCTGGGAAATCACAGTCCATAGACGAGCTGGTCCACCAACAGCCCCACCTTGAAATTTTACTGTGCAGCTCAAATCCCTGCTCCTCTCCGCCAACCCCTATGGGAGACCCACCACCCCATGTGGTCCAGCACCATCCTGAAGCTGGCCAAGCTCTACTCCGAATGGCGTCAAAAGCTGAGAGGAAACAAAACCTGTGCCTCCAGTAAAGACATTAAGGCAGGAGCAGAGCATTCCCAGGGGACTCGATCCATGTGCCTTAGTAGTACTGGGCACTGCCGTGGGGCTGAGGGTGACAGGGGACCCAAGGGACCTAGGGGAACGGCAGTGGAAGATCAGGCAGAGGGTCCCAGGGCATCTCATCTGGCGTGAGATGCTTTAAACCAGTGTTAAACCATGTTATCACCTGTCAGGGAACAGCATAGACAGAGCTACACATTGCCTCGGTCATTTTTAAATGAGAATTTGGATTCCTTGAATTACTGAAGCAGAACTGAAAATGGTCCTGTAAACCAGCATCTCCAGTTTTCAGTGAGAATTTTTCAAACAGTGAAAGAAA